AGAGTTTAAAAACAAACTGGATGTATTTCCTGCCTTTCCTTTCCCAGGAGCCTGGGCAGAGTTTAAAATCATTAAGGAAGGATTCAGAAGTCTCTGAAGTTTCAAACATTTTTTTTCTGTGAAAATCGGTATTGACTTCCGAATCGAACTACCTGCACCCCCTACATCCGAAACAAGTTTTGAACCATTTTTTTTTATCAAACAAGCCTAATAATTACTTCTCAGATGCCCCAACTTATAATTATGAGGACTTGTAGTACCTTGTTGCATTACATACCTACATTGGACCTCTCCGGTACATTGGCATGGTAATTTTCATGTAGGAATTCAGGAGGGTTGTCATTGATATCTTGAACTTTGACAATGAATTCTGAAGGTGGTTCCAGGGGTCGGTTGGTATTCCTGTCCACAGCTTGTGCTGTCAAGGTATATTGAGCTCTTTCTTCCCGATCCAGAGTCTTAGTTGCATGGATGTTCCCTGATTTATCATCAATAACAAAAATGATTCCTGCTCCTTCACCTGAGAGAATGTATTTTATATTTCCATCACCAGAATCAACATCCGAATGAAGCTGCAAAATTTAAGATATGCATAAGCTTGGATTTGAAAGCTCGTGAATAGTGGCTGCCAGATTTTTTATGATTGTTTGCAAATAAATAGATGGAAACCAAATTAAGCACATGGATTGATGTACATAATTCACATGTCTGAAAAATTGCCCACACAGAAATGATGATTACAAAATACATTTAAATGAAGATAGAGCAGATAGATCATTACTCCTTAAATGACAGATATAAATATAAACATTATTTGCCAACATCGTCATTCTGTTTCACTAGGGTTTCCCAATGCTTTCATCACTCCATTCCCAGATCCTATATAAACACATAAACAATATTCAAGCCAGTACAAGCATTATGATCTACAAGGGAGGGCTTCCTTTCAGTCATACAACCATCACAGACACATTTGGTGAGATTTTTCTCAGGGCGGTTCTATACAGTGACATAGTGCAGCTCCAACTAGTATGAAAAATACTGGTTTGGACCTGCATAGTAGCTACACTGGGTTGCTGCCAACCACCTTTGAGGATGGACAGCTGTAATGCACTGCAAAACCCCTTCAGCAAGCCAGGCCACTCACAAGGGAATCTTGGATATTAAAGATCAATATTTGCCTAAGTTTCTACAGCCAGGAAAAGTCGCTAATGGAGCTTGCATGCAAAAATGCCGGGTTTTTTTTCTACCCCACTAAACTGTGGCTCCCTTCCCCCTAAGTTCATTACAATCCAGACCAAAGCAACTCACATCCTTCCTCCATTCTAAAGTCTTATCAGTCTTATGAGAAGTTCCCCAGATGCACAGGTGTATTATTTATTTATTTATTTATTTATTTATTTATTTATTTATTTCGAGCATTTATATTCTGTCCTTCTCACCTCCAAAGAGGGATTCGGGGTGGCTTACAGCAGGCTGCCATTAGATGCCAATACAATACATTAAAATCATAATTACTAGGGCTGGGTAACCACGGAAAAATTTGTTTCTAAACTCGATTCGTTTCCAGGGAGCGCTAGCGTTTCCAAATTCTAAATACTTCCGAAATTTTGAGATTTCAAAGTTTTGTTATTTACGAAATTTCGTTAATTTCGAATCGATTCGTTAATGGCGGACGCGATTGCGCAATATGCTAAAAAAAAAACCTCCAAATGGGACAGGGGGAACTTCTGAAGCTTCCCTCTCCCTCTGTTGTTGACTGTTGGTGTGATAAAACAAACAACAACTATAAAACTTGCACCAGACATGCGAAAATAATTACGAAATAATTACAAAATAATTACGAAATAATTACGAAATAAATTGAAAAAATTGTTTCGAATCTAATTTACTCCTCACACTATTCCTGCATGGCTCAATATTGGATCGTAAGCTAATTTAAATACAAATTAATAACGAATTACGAAATTAACGAACGAAACCGCCCAAGCCTAATAATAATAATAATAATAATAATAATTTTTGTGTGTGTCAGTAGTGACTTGAGAAACTGCAAGTTGCTTCTGGTGTGAGAGAATTGGCCGTCTGCAAGGACGTTGCTCAGGGGCGCCTGGATGATTTGATGTTTTATCATCCTTGTGGGGGGCTTCTCTCATGTCCCTGCATCAGGAGCTGGGGCTGATAGAGGGAGCTCATCCGCCTTTCCCCAGATTCAAACCTGCAACCTGTCAGGTCTTCAGTCCTGCCAGCACAGGGGTTTAACCTACTGCGCCACCGGGGGCTCCACAGATAACAGTGAAGGAACGTAACAGTTATTTTTTAGGTCTGCTCATATGCCCTTCCGCAAACGCCACTATCACCTTTTCGTCCATGTCCCAGCATTATTCCCAATTTTAACTTTACATTTGGCCTTCCCACTGCTTTTAATTATGTGTTGTCTTATTGCTAATGTTGTATATTTTATTGTCTATGTTTTTATTTTAATTACTTGTACTATTGTTGTTATTATTGCTTGTACCGTTGTATTTGGGCTCGGCCTCGTGTAAGCCACACCGAGTCCCTTGGGGAGATAGTAGCGGGGTATAAATAAAGTATTATTATTATTATTATTATTATTATTATTATTAATATTATTAATATTTAATGAAAAATTATAAAGAACAGTTTGGGAAACGCTTTGAGAAGACCTTAAATGGAATAGAAATCACCAATCTAATCCAAAATATTATTAAATGCTTCAAAATCGTTCCCAGCCCACATCCACACTGTCCACAAACTGGAGGGCGTTGGGCACAAATTCAATGTGTTTGCCAAAAACTCATGGCTTGCTCTGTTGTCCAAAAGTGCTGAATAAACTGGATTAGAATCATTTCACTCCACTCCTCATAATTCTCTCCCCACCTTCCTTCTAATACAACTACGAACTATCTTCCCGAGTTTGCCCCCCCCCCCAGCTCTCACTCTGTCCGCTGTCACTCCGTCTCCTCTCTTGACCACGTGGTCATACATGTGTTCCCTTCCCTGATTCACAACTACCGGTGAGGAGACAACATAATGCTAGCGGCAATGGGACCCAGCTATCATACTATCACAGGCATGATTGAGGAAACTATAAATCACACACCAGTTTTCCTGCCTAGTACAATTATTCCTATTCAATTCATTTTGTCTGTGTTATTTTGAGCTCTGCTCCTCTCTTTGAGTAAATTCAATACACAAAGACACAGTCATTTGGCCTTATCTGCAAATTTGATTAACTGAAATTCTGTTTTATCATTTATAAAACACATTGAGCCACATCAGGCCCAAGACACAATGCAGAGGCACCTCACTTGTCACTTCTCTCCAGAGGAAGAACAACTATTGACAATTACTCTCTGAGTTATGTCTGACAACTGATTAATGATCCACCTAACTATAGCACGGTCTAGCTCCCTATTCAGCTGCCTGTCTACAGGAATATCATGGGGAATCTTGTCAAAGCTTTACTGGAATTGCAATATATTACATAGGGGTGTGCGATTTGTCAAAAAACCATCCCATTTACTGAAAAGTTTCTAAAATTGGAAAGGGAGGGGGATACCGTTTCATGATCCGTCAGCCGGAAGTTCTGTGTTTGTTCCAAGAAGATCTGGCCCATTGGTAACAATGGGGTCTCCTCTTTTCATCATTTTTAAGGCTTGTTGTTGTTCATTCATTCAGTCGTCTCTGACTCTTCGTGACCTCATGGACCAGCCCATGCCAGAGCTCCCTGTCGGCCGTCACCACCCCCAGCTCCTTCTAGGTCAGTCCAGTCACTTCAAGGATGCCATCCATCCATCTTGCCCTTGGTCGGCCCCTCTTTCTTTTACCTTGCACTTTCCCCAGCATAGTTGTCTTCTCTAGGCTTTGCTGTCCCCTCATGATGTGGCCAAAGTACTTCAACTTTGTCTCTAGTATCCTTCCCTCCAATGTGCAGTCGGGCTTTATTTCCTGGGGGATGGACTGGTTGGATCTTCTCGCAGTCCACGGCACTCTCAGAAATTTCCTCCAACACCACAGTTCAAAAGCATCTATCTTCCTTCGCTCAGCCTTCCCTAAGATCCAGCTCTCACATCCATAGGTTACTACAGGGAATATCATGGCTTTGACTAGGCGGATCTTTGTTGCCAGTGTGATGTCTCTTCAAGGCTATCAGGATGAAAATGGCCACATTTTCATGTGGAGGATGCATTTACAACTGCAACCCCCCACCCCACCCCAAAGTTTCAGAATGTTTGGGTCATCCACTTTTTTTTGGTCGTGTCAGGAGCAACTTCAGAACCTGCAAATCACTTCTGGTGTGAAAGAATTGGTCGTCTGCAAGGACGTTGCCCAGGGGACACCCGGATGATTTGATGTTTTTATCATCCTTGTGGGAGGCGTCTCTCATGTTCCTGCATGAGGAGCTGCAGTTGATAGAGGGAGCTCATCCGCCTCTCCCCGGATTTGAACCTGTGACCTGTCGGTCATCAGTCCTGCTGGCACAGGGGTTTAACCCACTGTGCCACCGGGGTCATCCCCTGATTTTTAGGATATTTTTGTAGCTTCTACAAATAAAGGAAGAAGGCTACTAAACTGGTGGAGGAGTACACACACACACAAGCCAGAGGGAGGGAGAGGCAATAGCAGAGAGTCAAAGAGGTGACCCATTCATACATAGCACCAAAGGTACCTGCCCAAAGTGGGCCCACTTCTCAAGGCCACAGAGAAGGTTGGAAGCCACCAACCTCTTCTGTCCCACAGCATGGGAGGCAAGCAGACAAGACCTATGGAGGGTGACTGAGCTAAGGAGCATGCCTTCCACCAGCCTTGTTGCGCAGCAATATAGCCGGAAGTGCTCAGCCACCATAGGGACTAGAGCAAGGGTCCTCAAACTTTTTAAACAGAGGGCCAGGTCACAGTCCCTCAAACTGTTGGAGGGCCGGATTATAACTTGAAAAAAGCATGAATGAATTCTTATGCACACTGCACATCTCTTATTTGTAGTGCAAACGACACTTAAAAACAATACAATAATTAAAATGAATAACAATTTTAACAAATATAAACTTATTGGTATTTCAATGGGAAGTGTGGGCCTACTTTTGGCTGATGAGATAGGATTGTTGTTGTTATTGTGTGGTTTCAAGTCATTTCAGAGTTAGGTTGACCCTGAGCGAGGGCCGGGTAAATGACCTTGGAGGGCCGCATCCGGCCCCCGGGCCTTAGTTTGAGGACCCCTGGACTAGAGAGTGGGGGCATAGAAGTTCAGTCCTCACAGACAAGGAGATCGGGTGACACTGGCCTCCTTTACTCTGCGGCGAGAAGCCGGCAGAAGAGATTGCGAGGAGTGATCGGGCAGCGGAGTGTTCCCCAAGTTACCCAGCCTGCCACTCCCTGCCCGTCATCTGCCATCACAGCAGGAAGCGTCCAGCCTACTACTAAGCCCAGAGGAAGGAGACCTAGGAGCCTTGCGTTCTGCGCAGATCGATATTGAGATCAAGGAGATTGGAAGCCACTGACCCCCTGTGCTTTGCGATGAGGAGTGGCAGCCAGTGATGCCTTAGGGACG